TTAGATTATACATATGTATATTTTTTAGTTTTCACCGAAAAATCATGTATAATACTTAATAAAATAAATTACATGTATAGTATAATTTAGTATACATAAATATATAATACTTTCTCCCCATGGTTCTATCTATCTATCTATCAAAAATAAATAAATAAAACACTGTCCTATGAAATTAAATCGTTTTTGGGCGTTCAAAAAAATCCCATCCCTTATCTTTAAACCTGCAAACAAAGGGTTGAGTGCAATCATTGATTAAATTGTAACACATTCCTGTATAACATCTAAAGCATTGCGTAACACTGCGCAACAGTATCAACACAAACTTTCACAAATTTCTTTCTAATGATAGGTGGGTGTGTCCCCTCGCCGCTGCCTCGCAGCGATTGGCTGCGCCACCTGTCAATCAGTGGGTGTGTGCGCTTGTGTTTTCACATACTTCTCCTTTATACCTCAAGGCTCGAGCATCAAAATAAAGCACTAAGACACCAAACGCGGACAATGAGGGGCGCCAGCCGGTCAAAAAACACGCAGGATCTGGATAAGAAGGGTAAGGGACATGAGGTTATGGCTGTTCTCTGGCGGAGGCAGCTGGTATTGTGTGCGCGAGGAGAAAGAAGTAAACAAGACTCTGTCACGTAGGCGCGTGTGCGTTGGGCTCAAGAGTCCACGAGCCGTTTATTTGAACAGTAGCATTATACATATGCCCTGTTAATCATATACTCGCGTAACCTATGCGAGTATAAACCATGCATGTGGTCTAAAAATAAACTAACGCTGTGTTCTGTGTAATGCATTGAATGAATGAAGATAAGCACACAGTGTTTGGGTGATGTGCTGCACGCATTGACATGCACTGATGTCGCATGTGGTGGATTTCTTTGGGTTGTGAAGCGTTTTGTGTATTTTCTCAGGAGTGTTTGTGTTGTGCATGTCATTCATGCTGTACAGGAGTGTGGAGTTGAGGTCAAATCATGGCCATGTTGGTTGCATTACTGACATGGAGGTAAACTGCAGCTTGTCGGGTCGTAAAAATAGCATACTATGACCTAGAGAGAAGACAGAAATCCGAGGCATTCTATAATTAAGGTTATCAGCAAATGAGACCTATTATAACGAACACAGCTGCCATTGCATTTGTTCCAGATTTGTTTAAATGGCTGGAAAATAAGGATGTTGGTGTGTAGTAATTGCTAACAATCTGGGCTGGTATTAAATGGTTGTAGTAGGTTTGTATCCCATAAGTATGAAGTATTGTTCAGTCCATTGTGATGAGAATGACAGTCAGTTTCACATCAGAATTAAAACCAGTATAATGACATATCAGAGATTTTGAACAATGGCAGTTTAACGATTGTTGTACCAATGAGACAAGATAAGCAGCATTTGCGACATATGAATTGGGAGGTTATGAGTTGTTGTTTGTAGAATGATATCAACATATCCCACACCCACTTGTCCACTTTTTAGCCACACCAGACCTAGTTTTCTCTGGAAATCTAAATGCTGATTAATAAGTCAGAATTACTAACTGTGATTCATAGTTTGACAGTAGATTAGTGAATGCATGATTGTTGAGGTTTTGTGGTTTACTAATTTCTCTTGTAGAACAGCTCAATCTCAGTTGCAAGATTTGTCATACGTTTTTATTTTTTCATTTAATAAACAAATGAATCTTAAACAGAAAAATCTGTTACATCAATATGCATATTTGTTTTTAAGTAGAATACATTTTGCAAATGTGAAATTGTCCCTTAATTTAAGCTGATCTATTGATGTGTATGCTGTAAAAAGCAATCTAACATTGTGCAGCCTCATAATCTTAGATGATCTTTTAGCCCTATATCAGTGCAGACTGCACACTGATATAAATATACGCTGTTTCTCACAAATCACTGTTATTTTCAAGCTCTAGTCTGCACACAGCTCAAGTCAAATCCCCTACCCACAGTCCATATCTCTCAGAATGTCTCTTTCTTGCCATCTAGTGGTTGATATGTGTATGAGTATAGCATCATGTCTTTGGCTTTGCTCTCACTTTCAGTATGTAAGAAAGAAAAGGTACTGGCATTTTTTTAAGCCTTAAAATATGTGTTTTTGTAACTGACTGCAACAACTTTGTTTTCTTGAAATGTAGTGTTTTAATGTTTAAGTTTAGGCTGTGTCTATGGTCTTTTACACTGCTAATTTTGAAGGTGAACTTTGACCTAATTTGCATTCTTTTGCATTTTATGTAGCTGTTTTTATTACAAGCATTCTCTTTATATCCAAATGTTATTGTTAAAACAGGTTTTACAAGAGCAGTGTTTCACAGTACCACATCTGGTCAAATCGGACTATCCAAGTTCTAACTTGTCAGCACCTTGCAAAGGCCATTGAAAATCTCCATGATCAGTGTAGCCAGCACTGGTTTGTTTGAACAGTTTAATTGTACCTTTAATTTAATTTAGTAATTTAACTCTGAAACATTCACTGCTGTTCAAAAGTTTGGGATAAGTAAGATTTTGAATGTGTTTTAAAGAAGTCTCTTCTGTTCATCACGGCTGTATTTATTTGACCAAAAATACTGAAAAAAAACAGTTAATGTTGTAAAATATTATTACCATTTAAAATAATGGTTTTCTATTTTAATTTACTTTAAAATATCATTTATTTCTGTGATGCAAAGCTGATTACTCCAGTCTTAAGTGTCACATGATCCTTCAGAAATCATACTAATATTCTGATTTATTATCAATGTTGGAAACAGTTGTGCTTTTTAATATTTTTTTGGAAACTGTGATACTTTTTTCAGGATTATTTGATGAATAATATTAAAAAGAACAGCATTTATTTAAAATATAAATCTTTTCTAACAATATAAGTCTTTATTATCATTTTTTTTAAAAATAATTTAACACATCCTTGCAGAACAAAAGCATTCATTTCTTTCAAAAAAAAAAAGAAAAAGAATATTCTGATTATCAATGTTGGAAACAGTTGTGCTTTTTAATATTTTTTTGGAAACTGTGATACTTTTTTCAGGATTATTTGATGAATAATGTTAAAAAGAACAGCATTTATTTAAAATATAAATCTTTTCTAACAATATAAGTCTTTATTATCATTTAAAAAAAAAAAAATTTAACACATCCTTGCAGAACAAAAGCATTCATTTCTTTCAAAAAAAAAAAGAAAAAGAAAAGAAAGAAAAAAATTACTGACCCCAAACTTTTGAACGGTAGTGTATATTGTTACAAAAGATTTCTTTTTTGAATAAATGCTGTTCTTTTTAACTTTTTATTCATCAAAGAATCCTGAAAAAAGTATCACAGGTTCCAAAAAAATATTAAGCAGCAAAACTCTTTCCAACAGTAATAAATCAGCATTGATAATAAATCATCATATTAGAATGATTTCTGAAGGATCATGTGACACTGAAGACTAGTGTAATGATGCGGAAAATTCAGCTTTGCATCACATGAATAAATTATATTTTAAAGTATATTAAAATAGAAAACCATTATTTTAAATTACAATAATATTTATTTCACAATATTACTGTTTTTTTTCTGTATTTCTGATCAAATAAATACAGCCATGATGAGCAGAAAAGACTTCTTTAAAAGACAGTACAAATCCTACTGATCCCAAACTTTTGAATGGCAGTGTATATATTTTAAATGTATAAATTGATTTAAAATTCATATTAAAACATTCAAATAATTCAAAAAAGAATCATATAAATGTCCAGTACCACATGGTGGCGCTCGGACAAGCACAGTTTCAGAACAATAGAGTTACCGTTACCCTATAACACTTGCTGTATCATATTTAATAGCCTACATCAGTGGTGTAGTGGTGCCTGGAGAAGTGGGTATACTCTTAATTTATGCCCCATGACGTGTGTTATAAACAGTGACGTGTAAAACTAGTCTTGTATATTTAGTTCACCCCGAAATCAGCCAGTAGTATTTGCATATTGTCACTTAACTTCTGCTGCTTGACTTCACGGAGTAAGAATCATTATGAAATTAAAATTTGCCACAGAAGAGGTGCAGATTTTGTATTAGAGCTGTTTTGAATTTACTGTTTGAACGCATTCGTTTACTGGATCCTTGGACTGAAAAGTTGACAGGAGTTTGCCGGTTTTTAAGCTATTGTTTTCGTTGTAATGTACTGATTCAAATTAGTAATCAATAATTAACTATTATTTTACCACTCTGCGCGCATCCCCTTACATGCTCTCGCGCATGAAGAAGCAGCATCTCTGTCTGTCGGCAATCAGCATCCTCTCTGACTGACGGAGCTCGCGCAATAATCAAACTTATTTCAAAGGAAGCGGCGCCACGGTCCTGACCGCATCACTGTCTTTACTGGGTGTTTTTAGGGAATATTTGTATTTTTTACATAGGATTGGATTAGCTATTCATGTGGTGGACTGTCATGATTTTGCCTAATGCAGGACACTAATGAATGATGCGCATCAGAGGGGATTTAGAAGTGGGTATACGCAAAGCCGACTGATAAAGAAGTGGGTATACGCCGTATACCTGCGTATACCCTCCACTACACCACTGGCCTACATTAATTTCTAGGGCCTCTAAATTATCAGCATGATCAAAACTTTGCTGAAAACCCTGTTGTACACAGCCTTCTACATGTCTTCTGTCGACTGATTTTTTTTTTTAGAACGTGAACTGCCCTTTATTATATTGTAATTCTAAAAATATACACCTTCAGGTTTTGGTACACGTCTTTTTGATGTAAAATCTTTAATGTTTTGTATAAAGTAAGCGAAGTAGCTATTAATAACGATAGCCTATAAAAATTATTCTTGCTACATTCTCAGCTCATGACGATTTTTTCGTCTTACTGGAGGCATTTGTACACTAATAATAATGTAATAACAACTTTAATCTAAATAATGGTACCTTACAAATAAATAAATAAATAAATACGCTGGAGCTGTATGGGCTTACATTTCTGCCACAATTCTGCGCGCGAAAGATCACTGCAGCAACCCAGCGCCGAGTAAAGTAGCAGACACCACGCGACCATAGAATGGACGGAAAAATACAGAAAATCTTTTCAACAGCTAAGTTTAAAGTACTATAGAAATATTAAAATTTAGACACTTATATAGACCAAGCCGCTAAACTACTTTATTTTTGGAAACCTCTTCTCTGTCCTTTACTTAATCACCGTATATTTATCTATTCTAATCACTAGGTAAATTATACCAGGCATTACGGTAAAGTGTAGTAGGTGCGCATGTTTTCGTGTCGTTACGGTAGTGTTTCATCTCAACGAGTCTAATGACGTTCTTCGGCGCTGTCTTTAGTGCGCGCTGATGGTTATGGACGCTCGTGTGTAGAGACGACGAATATAATGAATGTAACAGAGGACAGCACGGAGCAATGCGGTAATAGTCTAACCCGAGAGCTCACACAGAATCCTTTAAAGAAAATATGGGTGCCATCCTCCACAAACGGCCTTCCAGAGAGACACATTAGTCAAAGAAAGGGTAAGTGTGGATGAAAGGATGAGCCGGACATTGATGCTGAAGTCAGGTTTAGAGCTGGACTGTGGACAATTCTAGAGGCTCTTTGTTTGATTGCACTTCATTGTTTTAATTAAACGTATCAAATAGACTTATTTGTATTTATGTAACGTTACAACATTCATTAATAACAATTAAAATGGTTACGTAATACTCAATAGTTCATAGTAAATGCATATTCAAATAAACTATAAATATGTAATAATAATATCAATAACAATAATATCAATAATATAAAAATGATATACTTGCATATATAAAATATTTACAGTGCCAATGTTTCATATCGATTCAGCATTCCCACATTTATGGAAAACCTGGAAATGTAAGGGAATTTAAAAATTATGTTTTATAGGCCAGTGAAGGTTATGGAAATTGTTAAAATACATGGATTTTTTTTTTTTAAATCTCTAATTATCACTAATGCTGTGCTCTAAAACATTTCAACGGCTAACTATTGCTCTTGTAAAATTGCTCTGTTTTTGATTTGTTACAGAACGGTTTCAGTACTAAAAAGCTATACTTATTTGAATTTTGGTGTATTTTTAAAAAAAATAGTATAATATGAACCGTGTACAGACCAGCAACACCATATCATGTTCACCCATTTTAAATTGCAGGACTATGTGGACATTGATATGATTATATGCACTTTTATGTGGAGATACTGAAATGACTTCTGTTCTACAATGACAACTCGCAGATTTTATTATAGCAATAAAAAGTTCACCCAAACTGCACATAGACACTTATGTTATTTACACCATATGGTGTGGTGATTGACAGTACACCTGCAGTATGTGGGAAGAATATCATTGTTAAACATTGTTTTTTTTATGAGCTGCTGTTTTTTTTTTTTTTTCTTACAGTATGCATGACCAACTGCCCCACACTTATAGTAACCGTTGGTCTACCAGCCAGAGGAAAGACCTACATCTCCAAGAAACTGACACGCTACCTCAACTGGATTGATGTTCCAACGAAAGGTACGCAGCACTTGCAGTGTGATTAGACTATAAAATGCAGATTTGTGACAGCGGTTGAAATTCTGGCCATGAATTTGCTGTTCCAGATGTGTTGAATATTAGTGGCTTTGCTCATTCTGAAATTGGTTTATCTTGACGTTTTACCCCTGCAGAGTTTAACGTTGGACAGTACAGACGTGAATGTGTGAAGATCTACAAATCCTTTGAGTTCTTTCGGCCAGACAATGAAGAGGGGCTTAAAATTAGGAAGTAAGACATTGCTTTTTATCAGTGGCAACCATTCCAAACGTGAAATGAAACTACTGTTTTTTTGTTTTTTTTAAAGAATGCTTAGAAGCTCATGTGATTCCTTGACTCTTCTAGGCAGTGTGCATTGGCAGCTCTCAATGATGTACGGCAGTTCCTCACAGATGAAGGCGGTCAGGTGGCGGTAAGGAAAGCGTCATTTGTAAACACATTGAATAGAATAGAAAATGTCATGGGTACAAACTAATCTTTCTTTAGTTGCGATTTAACATTTCATTGTTTTTTATGCATTTACCTGTTTTGCTTTACAATCTTCAGGTCTTTGATGCCACAAACACAACAAGAGAAAGGAGAGAGACGATCATCAGATTTGCAGAGCAGAATGGTTTCAAGGTGCTGGAAATGGGATCATTCATTTAAAGGGGTCCTATTATGCTTTTTCACTTTTTCACCTTTAGTTAGTCTGTAATGTTGCTGTTTGAGCATAAAAAAGATCTGCAAAGTTACAAAGCTCAAAGTCCACTTCAAAAGGAGATATTTTATTGAACAGAAATCACTTTTCAAGTGTTTTTCTCATGGGTTCGCTCTTTTAAAACCCTCTTTTCACACCCCTCAGGTTTTCTTCGTGGAATCAGTGTGTGAAGACCCGGATGTTATTGCAGAGAACATCGTGGTAAGTCTCAGAACTGCAGAATATCTTCGATATCTTTATCCCACCTTGTTTTTGGTCTAAATTTGTGGTCTTGGTGTTCAGCAAGTGAAGTTGGGCAGTCCAGACTACACACACTGTAACACAGAAGAGGCCGTTGCAGACTTTATGAAGAGGATCAAATGTTATGAGAACTCTTATCAGCCATTGGATGAGGAGCTGGACAGGTAAATGCCATTTTGGTTCTGCTGAACTTAATTCAATCTATGAATCTATCAATTTCACATTAGGCTTGCCGCGATAGACGGTGTTGACAGTGATACCGGTGTTAAGCCGCAACACCGGTTACGCCACTTGCCCACCACGTCACCGACCCCCACCGTCATTTTGATTTTTTGTAGTAATAAAAATTATTTAGTTCAGTAAAAGAACAGACACTACAATTAAAAACTGAACGTGGCTGCTCAATGCAGCGTGCAGAACGACAGTCGCATCACAGATTAATTTCTCCAGTGAGGAGAGTGAGTCCAGCTGAATGACAAGAAGAGTGAGGTGAGGTGAGACAGACAAGATAATGGCGGATTATTTAGTTTCGAAACGAAATGCAACGCGCCTGTTTGGCAATATTTTGGATTTTGAAAAGCCTGTTGACTTTTGCCGTTTATCTAAGGTGATTTTGGAAGTTTTTTTAAACATT